TTCTTCTTCTTCTTCTTCTTCTTCTTCTTCTTCTTCTTCTTCTTCTTCCTCCTCCTCCTCCTCCTCCTCCTCCTCCTCCTTCCCCCTCCTATGGGTTTAAAGAATGAGGTACAGATTCCTCAACCCCAATGTTGTTTATAAGCAGTAATGAAGCGGAGTCTTCCTGGAGTGAAGGGCCTTTGAGTCTAGCTCAGCCTCTGGTGACTGCAGAGAGTCCTCAAGTTTCGACCACAATTGAGCCCAGAATTTTATGCTGCTACGTGAAACCTTGGTTGAGTGAGTTTTGCCCCATTGTACGACTTTTCTTGCCTTCTTGGGTTCAGGGAATCGTTTGCATTTGTTAAGTTAGCAGCACGGTTGTTAAGTCAATCTGGCTTTCTCCTGGACGTTGCTTGTCAGAAGGTTGCAAAAGGGGAGATTCACTGCGACCGTCGTAAATATGAATCAGTTGCCCAGTTGTCTGAATTTTGACCACGTGACCATGTAAAGCAAAGCTCGTAAGTCTGAAAACCGGTCATAAAGTCACTTTTTTTCAGTCCCGTTGTAACTTAGAACGGTCACTAAACGAGCGTCTGTAAGTCGTGGGCTACTTCTGTAGAGTTTCTTCCCTCCTTTCTTCGTTCTTGCAACCCACCTGCCTCTAGAAACAGATACTCACTCGTGCGTGCCTAACCTGGCATTTCCTCAGTGTAGGAACGAGCGTCTGACTTGGGCCGCTAGTGTTCGCCTTCCAAATTGATAAGCATCTCGGGCTATTTTAAGAGGGCAGGAGGCAGAAAATATCTTTTTCTTCTCCCCAACTTGGTCGTTTCCCACGAGAAACCCCTTGGGTAGGAAATGGATGCTGCCCAGGGAAAGCCAGAGAAGAATTATGAAGCGTCACTAACAGAGGTTGGACCGGATGCCTGTTTGTTAGATTTTGCTCCGTTTGATGCTCCTTTCTTGGCCAGGGTGGTTAAGCTGCCTCGGAAGCTGGGAAGGTTTCAGACGGTGATCACAGGATATAAATTCACGCCAGTTGCCAAATATCCAGATTTTGATCACGTGGCCCTGGGGATGCAGCAGCGGCCATAAGTGTGAGAAATGACCGTAAGTCACTTTTTTTTTCAGGGCCGTTATAATCTCAAATGGTTGCTAAACAAAATCGGGGACCGCCTGGACGTTCAAAACTATATATAGTTGAAACAACGAGAGGCCTTAATGCAGTACAGCCTGTATTTTCAGCTGCTGCTGCTGCTGCTGCTCCTTCAGAATAAATAAATATAAATAAAAATAATAATAATTTACGTACCACCGTGAGAAATGTAGTAGAAATACTCCAGGAATCTTGAGTATTGAGGACTGGCTTTCTGGCTTTAAAATCTACTCAGAATCTGTTCCAAATCAGGCTGCCTGCAGAACGGCGAGACTTCAGCTCCCATCATTCCCGTCCAGCAATCCAGTTGGCCAAGCACCTGAATTTTGAATCTACCAAGTAAATATTTATATTAAATAATCACAGATCCAGTTTGGTTTAGTGCTTAAGGCACCAGGCTAGAAAGCCGGAGATGGTGAGTTCTAGTCCTGCCTTAGGCACAAAAGCTGGCTGGGTGACTTTGGGCTAACCACCAGGAGATGGTGAGTTCTAGTGCTGCCTACTTCATGAAAGCCGGCTGGGTGAATTAAGGCCAGTCCAAAAAAGAACCATAATTCCTTTTCCAACCTGCTCTTTGCAGGAACAGTTTTTTCACACAGATCTCCCAGTTCCTCCTCTTTCTTTTTAAGGGCCTCCAGAGAAGCCAGAGCAAATTCCCGTGGAGAGCCGCTCCTGTGTCCTCATCCGGCGCGATTTGGTAGCGCTTCCGGCGAGTCTGATTAGCCAGATCGGTTACCGCTGCCACCCGAAACTCTACTCGGAAGGCGATCCTGGAGAAAAACTTGAATTGGTTGCAGGTATTTACCTACAGGGCCTGCGTCTGGGTGCAGAACAAGTCCCACTGTATGCCATGAGCCCCATAAACATTTAAAAGGAAGCTATAATCCTCAGTTATAACGGATGAAAGCCTTAACACTCACAACCAACGAGGAAGCCGGGAAATTACAACTTAGCTAAAATCTTGGGGTTGAAGTCCAATCTTAGTTGAATGGATTGATTGGAGGGAAGCAGTGACTTTTATTTCAAGATGATGATAATGATGATGATGATTATTATTATTATGGTTCATTGCACAGTCAGCCAGATGTTCAGACCGGATTTGGCATTTTTTGTCTTTGCTAAACGGAGGTGATGAAATTGACTTGCCTGTATTGACTTACGATATAGGTAATCCTCAAATTCCAACCATTGTCGGGAGGGGAAATAAGCAAGGGGGTTGTTTACTGACTCTTGTGCAATGCCATGACTCTTTCGGCATGGCCGTTAAGCAAACCAGTGCAGTCGTGAAGTGAATACCATGGCTGTTAAACCAAATCCGCCCCACCCCATTGACTTTCCTCATCGGAGGACAGCTGGTGAGGTCGCACCGGGCAATCCCAGGCCCTGGGGACGCACCATCCTCAATACACAACAGTTGCCAAGCATCAGAATTTTAATCAGGAACCATTTGGGAGGTTGCAGCATTTGTAAGTGTGAGCACTGACCGTGTCATTTTTTTTCAGTGCTATTGTAATTTCAAGGGCCACTAAAAATCTGATAAATAAAGTAATAAACTAAGATTCGGGTTGGCAAAAGAATTAGAATTCTTTAGTGGCCAAGTGTGCAAATGCTCTAAGTGTACATAGAAGAAAAGATATAAGAGTCAAGAATCATCAGGTACAACACTTAATGATAGTCACAGGGTACAATAGAATAGAATAGAATAGAATAGAATAGAATAGAATAGAATAGAA